TTCAGCAGATCGAGGAACGGGGCGAGCACGCAGGTGTCCGGCTCTGCAGAAAAGCACTGCCTTGGCGCGCGCTTCATGTACACAGCCCTGGTGTTGACGGTGCACCAAGCCCACAGGAGGGCTCTGTAGCTGAAGATGCTCTCGACAGCCTCCGAAAACAGAGGCTGCAGGGAAGAGAAAAAGTCTCTGGAGGAAGAAACAAACTCCTGCACGTGGGTTCTCTGCTCTCTGGCCTTTGCTTTCAAAGGTCTGGGAAGAAGATTCACCACTTCTGGCTCCAAACAAACAGGGCAGGTGTAGGCCTTGGGCAAAACCTCCAGGTAAGGCTTCCAGGGAGACCGGTCCCCAGCATGCTTTTCTGAAACTAAAAAGGTGCAAAGAGCCAGCACAGGAGATGGAGGAGGCTGCCACCTTTTAAAATGAAAAGCAGATTAAAGGAGTTACTTTCATTCAAAATATGGCGTAAGCAAGAGGTACAGACATCCTAGGGCTAAGTTCTGCTCCCAGAGGGACCGTGGCCAAGTTCACCTAATGCACCCAAGAGAGGTCTTCCTTCCTCAAGGCTTTCCTCCCCGGATTGCACCCCAGTACAAATGCAGTGAACCAGTCACACTGATACAAGAACTGGCTCACTAACCCGAGTTCCAGCTTTGTTTGCCAGAGATTCTTTCTTGCAAAAACCTCTTTGCTTCCAACTTGGTTCTCCAGTTTTAAAGCTTTTGCTGGAATTTCACTTGTTTCACTTGGTTAAGGATATAAATCTTGGCGGGTAGAGGGCAATCGGTGGAAAGAACCTAGACGTGCCCCATCCAACACAATAACCGCTGGGTACATATAGTTATTTCAATTTTTATTTTTTTAATTAAATAATATTGAAAATTCAATTCCCCAGTCATACAAGCCACAATTCAAGTGCTCTTGAGCCATATGTGGCTGGTGGCTACCATACCAGACAACACAAGGTAAAACAACGCTATCATTGCAGAAAGTTCTATTATATGATACTAACCCAGGCAGAAAACTGAAGAGGCTCATTATATACCTGTTACAGATCTAAAGCTTTTGTCTTAAATTTACCCATTCTATTGCAAATTATACATTGCAGTGTTTTTATTTGTTACCAATAAAAAGATCACATGTTGCATGAATGTATTTAGGAAAGTTTTCATTAATCCTTCAAAGTCCAGATTCCTAAATTACCATGCATTCTACTCAAAATTTCAGAAAATGTTAATACTAAGAGCATCCTTGCCTCTACTCAGGCCAGTGAAAATACACCAGCCCTCTTACAAAAGTAAGCCAGGGGAAAAAAGTCCAGAACTTACTGTGGGTTGACAAACAATACAATCTTTCAACCTTTATAATTTAGAAACCCCTTATGCTGAGGATCTCCCTCACACTGTCCTCAGAAACCCACCCAAAACAGAGACCCCCTATAACATAAGCCAAAAAATAGTTCTCAGCTCCCATGTTGGCCTCCTCTCTTCTCTGCCAAACAAAACCAACTCTCTCATACTGTCAACAGCTCTTCATAGCTGAAGGGGAATTCAAGCAAGTACAATAAGGGTAAAAATTAAAAGAGTAAATAGAATTTGTCAAGACCTACTACAACGGAGGAGAGGGAGTGTCATGAGACAAGGCACTCAGCCGTGATTTACATCTATTATCCCATTTAATCCTTATTTTCTAGTAAGGTTAGATCAGGATTCAAACCCACATCCCAAGCAGCCTATTAAAACCTTAAAAACGCAGTTTACAATGAATTAAGAATCAACTTCATAAAACAAGAGTAAACCTTTCAAATCATTTCAGATATTTGTTAGCTACATGAAAGGGCTGGGACCTAATGAGCTATGTCTTGGACGACATACTCTCCAATGATATAAACTTTAAGGGAGAAGCACTTGGCCCAGACAAGCAGGTGAGCAGTCACTTACTTAGCAATATACGCCCCTAAGTAGCTTCTAAGCACTGTGTCCGTGGTGAGCAGGCAACTCTCAGGCAATGAGATAATCATCTGTCCCTCCTTGCCAAAAAGAAAGTAAAGTTTAGGACATCCATGCTTTGGGAAGGACCTGAATGAGTCTTTAAAGTCCTTGATTCCACAATCATCTAATAAGAACCCAGCATAGCCCAACCACCGATGACCAAAGAACCCTCAGGGGATGGACTTCCCAGTTTAAGTCAGCAGATGCAGGCAAGGCTGCTCCCACGCTAGGGATAGATACTACATCCCCAGCAAGAATTAAAGGTTAACTGTGTGACTGACACCCACCACCAGTCAACCTTCCACCAGAAAGGAATGTGGAAACACTCTGACAACTCGAATCATATTATCCCTTCATCTTCTGACACCAGGAAATAGTGCTACCTATAGGCAACAGACAAAAACCACTCCAAAAAACTCTTCCAGTGAAATCCATGCGTCCAGTGACTATTCCCAGCAATGGCCTACTCGCCATATAACCTGCGCCAAGTGGCTGAGGAAAGAAGGGCAGGCCCCCCAGCACAAGGGTCTCATTTGACCACCTGCCAAAGTACAGCTTTCAGTTTCTCCCACTGAGACAGAAACATAGAAAGAAAACTCAAGATGTCAAGGAAGAGACATCAGAAAGAAAGCACTAAGAAGCCAGATATAAGATCCTGCTTTCATCATAACTGGCATCTAAGTTGGTTAAACATCACAGCCAAAAATCTCCTGGGTTCAATTTCTGGTCTCCTCATCTGTGATTCAAGATTGAGTTGGGATGGTCACTACAGTCCCTTCCTGCTCTGACATCCCATGACTTTCTGATTTTAAAAAAGGCACTTAATAAAATGCTCTATGTCTTGACTGGGGTAAATGTCTTCATCATCAAAACTCATCAAACTGGACACTTTAAATCTGTGCATTTCACTATGTGTAAAATACATCTCAATTTTCAAAAAGTTTTCACAAAAAAGCCACATTTGAAAGTACATGTAAAGCAACTGCCAATTATCATTTCATGATCTTAACAAAAACTACCCATAGCCACTGCTATATTCATGAGAGGTATATTTCTCCCCCCAAATTCTGCTACAGAATGAAGTCATATACCTCCCCTCAAAAAGAAAAATATTGCACAACAATGTTAATGTACTTAATACTACTGAACTGCACACTTAAAAAGGGTTAAGATAGTAAATTTTATGTTATGTAAATTTTACCACAATTTTAAATGCTTAATAAAAAAAATTAAGATAGCATAATAGAATTATAACATTAAAAGCTACCGTTCTTTAGGCTAAAGATATATACACAGCTGGGTTTTTTAATAAATTAAAGTAAGGAAGTAAAAATAAATTAAAACAATTTTGAAACAGAAAATTAAGATCACTACAAATAAATTAAGGAATTAATAATTTCTAGCTTTACAGAAAATTGTGCATTAGATACCCTTTAAGTAGCACAGAAGAACTAAAACAGACCTTGGAGAACATCCGCATCACTTACCTCCCGCTTCCCAGGTGAGGAGACAGAAGCCAGGAGGGTTAGCAGCCTGCTGGGCTGCCCGGCTGTACTTACTATGGATGCTCAGATTCGAGCAGCTCCCTTCCACCCCCAGCCCATCACCAGCGCATTTACAATATGATCCGATTTACAAACCCTGCTGCGGCAGAGACTGCTGGCCGCCCCCGCAACACGCTCCCTGCTCCTGCTCCCCATGCAGTCCCACCTAAAGGGTGCGGCTCGCGGCAGCTGGGGGCTCGCAGCAGCTGGGGGCTCGCGGCAGCTGGGAGCTGGAATTTCCGGGGTGAGGGGAAGCCTGCCCTTCCTCACCCCTTGTGCCATCCTGCTGCTCAAGCTCCTGGAGCTGCACCCTGGAGCTGAGGGTGTGGGGCTCCCTCTCAGAACATGGATAAGAGCTGGACAGAGCCCGAGAGACCAGCACACCAGCCCAGGTCTGCCCATCCACGCTTGTTCACATGACGGCACGAGACACTTGCGCTCTGTTACCTTGGGTTTGTCTCTTATACGCTGCAAACTTAATTCTAACTGACAGAACTGTATTCAAAACTATCTATTAAGTAAAAAAAAAAAAAAAAAATCTGTATGTCTAAAATATTTTTAATTCACTTGATTAAACCACAAAAACAAAAACAAAGCAGCAAAATCTACTTTGGGTTTCAAGATAAGAAATTCTCACCCGCAGGGATGTTTTGCTCATCAGCCCTCTTCCTGTACCTAGGAATGCAAAGACAGAAAAAGGGTAAATCCTACTCTTTCTTCAAGGTCTTAGAGATACTATTTTGCATAAAAGATGTGGATGAACTTCAAAATTACACAAAGCTGAAGCTGAGTGTCTCGCATCCTTTGACTCCCAGGGGAACCAAAGGATCAAGAAGCTATTCTGGGGCTTCCCTGGTGGTGCAGTGGTTAAGAATCCGCCTGCCAATGCAGGGGACACGGGTTCGAGCCCTGGTCCGGGAAGATCCCACATGCCACGGAGCAACTAAGCCCGTGTGCCACAACTACTGAGCCCACGTGCCATAACTACTAAAGCCCATGCGCCTACAGCCCGTGCTCCGCAACAAGAGAAGCCACCGCAATGAGAAGCCCATGCACTGCAACGAAGAGTAGCCCCTGCTCCCCACAAATAGAGAAAGCCCATGCTCAGCAACAAAGACCCAATGCAGCCAAAAATAAATAAATTTTTTTTAAAAAAGAAGCTATTCTGGAAAATGGCCCGACCTCCTTTTGGGTTTATAATCTTGAAGGGCAAAGTCAGCTTCAGAGTCAACACCTAAAGATCATCACCTTTAGGCAGATCTGCTGCTGGGTCTCTTACAGGAAACTTGAGGCTGGACTCTCTCCCCTGGGGCTCACCAGCCGGGGTGTAGCCTAACCCTAACGCCCACCCAACCTCAGAGGCTGGACCCGCAGGCCACTTTTACCCACTGCCAGACCCAGCCTTCCCCAGTAGTGATCTCGAGTCTTTGACCGAATGACCAGTAAAGCTCACTCAGGTCCCACAAAGCCTGAGGCCTACCCCCTCCCCACCCCAGCCAGGCAAGCCATTAGCCACCTTGACCTGACGAGCTCAGCAGGGTAGATCCAGGGCCAGCTGCTCCCCGTGAGCCAAGGCCTTGGCCAGAGCACACTCACAACACTAACCTCCGCAGCAGTTCTGTCAACGCCACCAACACGCAGACATCTACCCCTCTGTGCCCAAGGCTGCCCTCCTGCAACAGTCAGATGACAGCTTTTCCGGCAGGGATGGGCACAATATGTATGACCTGTAACTATCATACGGAGTCTCTCTAGTCATCTTCTCAAATCCACAGTTGTTGACTTTTTTCTCTCAGCTAGGAGGGTATATAATTCAGCAAAGGTCAATGCCTGCGGGACTAGTGGAAGCTGCAAGTTCCTGGAGGGAATTCCCACCTCGAGTCCCATCCGGTGTCTGGCAAGTTTGATTTGATGAGTTATCTCCCTACCCAGAAGCGTGTGTCTGCTCAAACACATGGTTTTGGTTTTAAGAACTTACTTAAAATCTGTGTGTCCCACTGTGGAGTTAATCCCTGTGGGCCAGAACCCTTCCTGAAATCAATTACTAAGGAGAGGATTTTTTTCTGTGGGGTCATTCTTTAAAAAAATTCATGTGCTGGGCTTCCCTGGTGGCGCAGTGGTTGGGAGTCCGCCTGCCGATGCAGGGGACGCGGGTTCGTGCCTCGGTGTGGGGGGATCCCACGTGCCGCGGAGCGGCTGGGCCTGTGAGCCATGGCCGCTGGGCCAGCGCGTCCGGAGCCTGTGCTCAGCGGCGGGAGAGGCCACAGCGGTGAGAGGCCCATGTACCGCAAAAAAAAAAAAAAGAAATTCATGTGCTAATTTAAGTGGAAATTTCTCTTCGAGCACACGTGAACAGAACTTGGCATGTCGAATAAATCCGGAAGATACTTTACCTATATGTCTACAATATAGTATTCAGTAGATCAGAAAGCAGATCACAGTAACCTGCACTTACTAAGGCAAGGCAGCAAGTGGCCATGAGGATCTTATTACAGACTTCTCCCTGCCTTATAATTTCTGCTACCATCCACCTACCCGGGAGGCCCCGATTTGGACAGTGCTCTTAGCATTAAAAGGAAATACTAGGGTCAGCTCCCGAAGCATAAATCAGGTCAGAGTCTAGACTGAATCCTGCTTGCAACTTGGGAGCCTTGCCACAAACCAGGACTAACTCCCCAGAATTCTGTACATTCTGACAGACTCCCATCAACATGCGCTCCTATCATACACTGATTAAGAGCTGAAGATACAGAAAGCACTTAGGGAAGGTGTTGCAGACCACATGCTTGTGTCCCCCCAAATTCATATGTTGATTTCTCAGCCCCCAGTGAGATGGCTTTAGAAGGTAGGGCCTCTGGTAAGTGACTAGGTCATAAGGGTGGAGCCCTCGTGAATGGGATTCGTGCTCTTATAAGAAGAGACAAGAGAGCCTGCTCCAGCTCCCAGCTCTCCACCATGTGAGGACACAACAAGAAGATGGCAATTTGCAAAGCAGGAATCGGTCCTCGCTAGGCACTGAATCTGCCCACACCATGATCTTAGACTTCCCAGCCTCCAGAACTGTGAGAAATAAATGACTGTTTTAAGCCACCCAGTCCATGATAATTTGCTATGGCAGCCCAAGCTAAGGCAGAAGGTTCCCTGACCCCAGAACTGTAAGTACTGGGTTCTGATCACTGCCAAACCACTTTGCTTTAGCTCCTCCAAGACCATGAATCTGGAGGTGGGCCCAGAGAAAGTTGCTCCTACTTTTATTTTTTTTTATTTTTTTATTTTTTGTGGTATGCGGGCCTCTCACTGTTGTGGCCTCTCCCATTGCAGAGCACAGGCTCCGGACATGCAGGCTCCGGACGCGCAGGCTCAGCGACCATGGCTCACGGGCCCAGCCGCTCCGCGGCACGTGGGATCATCCCGGATTGGGGCACGAACCCATGTCCCCTGCAACGGCAGGCGGACTCTCAACCACTGCGCCACCAGGGAAGCCCGCTCCTACTTTTAAAACTGCTAACTCTTCACTGCTCCAAACCATAGACAGATTACTTATCTTCAGGCATTCGATTGAAACCATATGCCAATTCCCGCTTGACAATTTTAAACCTACCCTTCTTAAGGCAAAGTGACACCCGAGGAGTAGGCAGGCCTTAGGCACAGCAAGTCCACTCCTGACACTACTTTCCCTTGATCATCTCATAAAGAACTCCATCCAGTAAAATCTAAGAGTATGCTTTTTACTGACCGTTCCTTGACACACAAAAACAGAAAGTTAAACATTCTGTTAGAGGCTGATAAATATGGTTCACCATCATAAAGAAGGAGCAATCCTAATAGAAGTTGGTTGAAATCAAGTATTTTAGTCCAAAGTCGTCATGTATAACTGACACATAGGGAACAACTTTACACACATCGCCTCACTGGACCAGGGGCACACATGGTAAACCATTTATTTTGGGTGATATATAAGGAAGTTAGTTTGCTCAAAGTTAAATTACCTAATGGGTACTTGAATGATCATTTTAATCGCCAAGGGAAGCATTCAGAGGCATATGATCTAAATATTCTACAAGGTGAAATGTCTGCACCTGCCCTGTGATACAGAACTTCAAGGTCCTCAGCACATAACTGTCTCTGTGCTACAGCAGATCTGTAGCACAGAGACAGGTGGTCCTCTCTGTGGTTACCTCAAGCCCACTTGTGGACAGAGCTGGGTCGCCTTGTATGCAGGCACAAGCCCATAACAAGCTGCCCAACTTCTGTGAGAGAATGTTCTGGAAGAGAATGTTAACCCAAACTCCATGACAAGCTCCTCAATTTTCAGAAAACAATGTTAATCCAACTTTCACAGCAAGCTCCTCACCTTCCAGAAGAGAATGTTCACCCACCCCTGTTCAGGTGACTGTGGACACCAGGGCCACACAGGGGCTCCTCCTCCAACACTCGGGGGGCAATACCACTGAGGCCTCCCTAAGGGCTCCTCTCCTGGAGCCACCCCCAGGGACCAAGCACCTCTGCTGGTTCTCTGGAACCCCTCCCCTTAGAAAACTATGGTGATGCTCCTGAGCTAAGGGATAATCCCATCAGCCTGCATGATTTGAAAATCCCATAAAATCATCATAAGCAGGTTCATGGGGACACCAGTCCCCACATTACACAATGTCCTCCCAGAAAAGCCCAGTGAAGATGTTTCCCTCAGGTCTAAGTTCCAGAAATACCTGTACTTCTGATGAGTAAACAATTTAGCTGGGTTTACAGAACACTAAGATTCAGCTAATTGATCATATACGTTGGGCTGCTGGAAAGATGAGCCAAATTTGTAGCTCACCTCTGACAGGGGTACGAAATTTCATAATCATGGCTTCTATGTGTTATCCTTATCCCTGCCTTCGTCTTATTTTTCTATTCTCATTTCCCTTTTCTAACTTTTAATTTTATTTCACCGTTTTGGAATTTCTCTCCACAAGCCACTTAAACTCATTTTTAGAATAAGGTCAAGTAAATATTACATCTACAAGGCAGGAAGGCTGCCACACAACAGAAGATGTTAGATAATTTTTGTCGGGTTGAGGAGATGATATGCCCCCAGAAATACAGCCCACCTGCAAGAATCACCCCTGCTTTCCTACCACCTGGGCCCACATGTCTCTCATGTGAGAGTTGAATGCCAGACCTTACCTGGAAAACGAGCAGGTATTAAGTTTGTATCTTCAAACTTCCTATCTTTCAGCCACTTCTTAAGCTCTATAAATTCAGGCTTGTAGCTCTCATTCACTAATCAAGAGAGGAAAGAAAAACTGGTAATTAAAATCACTATATAATCAGATCACCATTTAAAAAGTAAATCTCTGATGAACTGTCTCAGACAGTCATATCATGAAAGGGAATAAATTTTAAAACATGCACAAATAATGTAAACTAAAACAGAAAAACCACAAGATCATCACAAAGATGCAGGAAAAGCATTGGATAAAATCTGGCACTCATTCCTGATAAATACTCCCAGCAAACAAGGATAGAAGGGAACCTCCTCAACACGACAAAAAATATCTGAAAAACCTACAGCTGACATACTTAAGGATGAAAAACTACGTGCTTTCCCCCTAAGATCAGGAACAGAAGAAGGTTGTCTGTTCTCCCCACTACTATTCAACACTACACTGGTTCTTGCCAGTGCAAAAGGCAAAGAAAAATAAATAAAAGGCATCTATTATGGGTTGAATTGTGTACCCCAAAATTCATATGTTGAAATCCCAACCCTCAGTACCTCAGGATACGACCTCATTTAAAGATAGGGTCTTTACAGAGGTAACCAAGTTAAAATGAAGTCATCAGGGTGGACCCGGATCCAGTATGACTGGTGTCCTTATAATAAGGGAAATTTTGACACAAGAACAGAGGGAAGATGATAGAAGAAACACAGGGAGAAGACGGCCAACGACAAAGCCAAAAAGAGAGGCCTAGAACAGACCCTTCTCTCACAGCTCTCAGAAGGAACCAATTCTGCTGACACATTCTTTATAGATGAATCCTCAGGGCATTACTGAAAGTGAAATAAGCCATTCACAAAAAGACAAATACTGTATGATTCCACTTACATGAGGTATCTAAAATAGCCAAGTTCATAGAAACAAAAAGTAGAGTGGTAGCTGCCAGGGGCTAGAGGGAGAGGGGAATGAGGAGTTATTATTTAATGGGTATAGAGTTCCAGTTTTGCAAGATGAAGAGAATTGTGGAGACTGGTTGTACAACAATGTGAATGTACTGAACACTACTGAACTACACTTAAAAATTGTTAAAATGGTAAATTTTATGTTACGTGTAATTTTACTACAATTAAAAATTTTTTAAATTTTTTTTAAGATCTCAAATCAATAATCTGAACAAATAGAGAGATACATCTTGCTTGTGGGCTGGAAGATTCAATACTGTTAAGAAGAAGTCAAGTTCTCCCCAAATTGATCTACAGATTCAATACAATCCAAATCAAAATGTAAGCAGGCTTTTTTGTAGAAATTGACAAGATGATTCTAAAATTCATATGGAAATGCAAAGAACCTAGAACAGCCAAAAACACTTTGAAATACTGATTTCAAAACTTTTTTATTACTATAAAGCTACAGTAACTAAGACTGTGTGATACTGTCACCAAGACAGACAAAGAAATCGATGGAACAGAAAAGATTAAGTCTAAAACAGACCCACACATATGTGGATAACTGGTTTTTCACAAAACGCAAAGGCAATTCCGTGGAGAAAGGATAGTTTTTTCAATAAATAATGCTGGAACAACTGAAGTAAACAAATCATGGAATATTATCAGCAATATAAAAGAATGACCTATTGATACACACAACAGAGAATTATCTCAAAATAATTATGCTGAGTAAAAGAAGGCAAATAAAAAAGAATGCATACTATATGATTAAATAAAACTATAAAACAAACAATAGTGAAAAAAAGCAGATCACTGGTTGTCTGAAGATGGAGGCAGGGAGGGTTCAAAGAGGGCAAGATGAAAGGATTACAAAGGGAAACAAGGAAACTTCTTGGGGTGATGAATATGTTCATACCTTGATTTCGATAATGGCTTACTGTGTGTATACATATGTCAAAATCTATCAAACTATACACTTTAAATATGTGGCATTCATTGTATGTCAATTATACTTCAATGAAAGTGTTTTCTAAAAAAATACAAGATCCAAAATCTAAGGCTGCTAAAATACGTTATCACAACCTAGAGAACAGAGTTTACAGCAAGAACATTTAATAAGCAACTACTACACTCCCAGCACTATTAACCACTGTGAAGAGCGTTCAACATGTTCCTCACCCTCGAAAAGTTAACATTTTAGTTGGGGAAACAAGACTTCCACGAAAAACAACTGGAAAACCATAGCTCCTAAAGAATAATACCCAATAAGCATGATAACCCAGTGACATTAGTGAGAACTGGAAATGGCATTACCAAAAACATAAGGTCTCAACTCAGCCTCGAAGGTTAGAGAGAAACTGAACAAGCAGGGAGAAGGGAAGAAAGATGTTTCGGCTGAAGAAGGACTTTGCGGAATGGCAGAGGTGGACATGTGGGAGGTGTGCTCAGGAAATGGTGAGCGGAGAACATACTGCCAACACAGGGAGTGGGGCGGGGGAGCCACTTAGAAAGGCAGCTGATGCCAGGCAGGAATTCAGAAAGCACACAAAAGAGAATGAGGGGGACTTCCCTGGCGGTCCAGTAGTTAAGACTCTGTGCTCCCAATGCAGGGGGCACGGGTTCAATCCCTGGTTGGGGAAGATCCTGCATGCCGTGTGGCACGGCCCAAAAAAAAAAAGAGAGAGAGAGAATGAGGATCCTGGAGGCTCCTAAACCAAAAAGGCTACGTCCTTTAAGAAAGTTAGACTGACAGTGACAAATGGAACAACAGCAGGGAAGAAAACAAGAATGTGGTGAACCTGCCAAGAGCTGGCTGAAGTCATCTCTGGGCAGAACAGAGGGAGAAGTGAACCTAAGAAAGGCCAGGTGAGAGTTAGTTGGACATGGGCTCCAGAGAGCAAAGAAGGATACATAGTCAAAGATTACCTCCATGGTGCTGACATGCTGGGAGTCAGCTAGGAGGAGTGCTATTAATTTTTATGAAAAATAACAACTGCATTTATGTAGTACTCTCCAGTGGTCCAAGCACTTTCACATACGGTATCTCGTTCAGACTGGTTACACTGAACTTGAAATGATAAATTTACATCCAAACATTAATATCCTTTAGGTAGCTAGAGGTCAGCAGAGAGGTCAGGACCAGAAACAGAAACCTGGGAGTCATCCCCAAAGAAGACATAGTTGAAGCAATATATCTGTATTTCTACAAGGGTTTAAAAGAATATAATGGCACTATTTAAAAGAATATTCTTTAAGAAGTATTCTCTATGAACACTGCTCATGGGCTTCCCTGGTGGCGCAGTGGTTAAGAATCCGCCTGCCAATGCAGGGGACAAGGGTTCGTGCCCCGGCCCGGGAAGATCCCACATGCCGCAGAGCAACTAAGCCCGTGCACCACTACTACTGAGCCTGCACTCTGAGCCCGCGAGCCACGACTACTGAAGCCCGCGTGCCTAGAGCCCGTGCTCCGCAACAAGAGAAGCCACTGCAGTGAGAAGCCGCACTCCGCCGCAACTAGCCCACGCGCAGCAACGAAGACCCAACGCAGCCAAAAAGAAATAAATAAAAAAGAAAGAAATTTAACATTGCTCGTGTGCCTCTGAGAAAAGCTATGTGTTAATAGCAATCAACAAAGGATTCCTTTTTTTCATCACTGGCACCAAATGAATCAAAACTGTACCTCCTCTTGATTCAGAACTTGTGAAGAGTTTTCGTCTTCTGATTCGCCTTGTTCTTCCACCTCCGTTCCTCATACTAAAACTGCAGTTTCTGCTTAATTGCCCAATCTAAAATAAAAAGCATTTTCTTTGCCTTTCTTTCCAGCTGTATGATAATCACTGTTGATTGTACCTATAAGGATTTAAATATACAAATATAACTATTTAGTAAACCATTTCTCTAAAGTGTTTTTGTATATAAATTGTTTATACTCTGAGCTAAATCATGTGCAGTAATGGAATGCCCATTATATTGGTCCCTCTAAAACAGTTTTATCTTGAGGTCCTATTACATGCTGATTAATCACAGAAATCCTCATAACTGATTTCATAATTGTGTGCTTTGGTGACGTGTACATCAACGATAATCAACACTTACTAAGCACCAACCTATCTGTACTTTGAATAAACAGTAGTCCTGAAGCCCTCATCTGCTAGGAAGTCTTAGAGAAAAAAACCAAATCATCTTTCAATGTGAAGTAAATAATGATTTGTCCTTAAAACCAGCATCCTGAAATAAACATAAACTAAGCGGGGGTTTGCCACAGGTTAGGGAGAAAATGAGAGCCAAGAGAGCAGACAAAACAAAGAGATGATAAGAAAATCTAAAATGACTACAGTTTCTATACGTTACTTCCTCGGAAATACAAAAATGAAATCTATTAAACACACCAGCATGATCAGATAATGGAGTGGCCTACTATATGAAGCCATTAATAGTAAGTATGCGATAAGATGTAAAAATGTCCAAGATATATTACATGAAAAAATAAAGTTGCAGAACAAATTCAGGGATCCCTTATGAGTTTGATACTGTGCACATTTTATGTTTATAAAACAAGAGGCTTTAAGGAAGGATATTAAAAAATATGCACGGGGAGGGGACTTTTACTATTACTTCTGTATCCTCCTAGTCTGTGCCTTATGTATGTATGAGTACATAAGTGACATAATATGAATATTACTTAAGTGCATATATATGTGCATTTTAACCATACCACTGTTTTTTAAAAAACCACTAAAAGCTACCGAACTGAAATTAATAACAAGACACGAACTCCAAGCTCTATTACTATCCCACCCCAGCACTGGAAGGTTCACTATTTGATCGACCCGCAGTTGGCAAGTCCGGTCCCAGGGCCACCGGCGGCTCGTCCCCTCAGGGACCCCAGCGCCCCGCCCGCTCACGGGCCGCGACGCGTCCACACTGTCCCCCGGCCCGGCCGCGCGCGGGTCCCGAGATCCGGCGAGCGAGCTGTGCGCGTGGCGCCAGGGCGACAGCACGGCTGGCCGCACAGTCCTCGCCCCCAGTCTTCAGCCCCTAGACGTGAGGCCGCCCCACAGATGCGACACACCCCGCCCCTCCTCCGCCCCCTCCATTTTCCGGCCGCCGGGTTGACTGGGCAGGGGGCGAGCTCAGACCCAGACCAGTTACAAACTCCCGACCTTAGGGTCCTTCGCGCCTGCACAGCGGCTTCTCGGGTCGACATTCGCTAAATGAACGATTCTCAGATAACGGGGGCTGGGGGTGGGTGGGTATTGTAATGAGCAGCATCATGCCAGGCCTGGCGGGGGTAGGCCGTCCGAACTCAGCTCTCTTTTTGACCCCCCAAAATTAAAATACAGGGAAAGCTCCGACAGGAGCAGGTTCCCGTTACCTGGGCAACGGCAGGCCCAGCCCCGGAAGTCGGGCCGCTCTCCTTGGCACAGCTTCAAGATGGCGGTGGGCGGGCCCACGTGGAAACCCAGAACAGCGCGCCAGATGCTCGCGAGTTAAAGAAGCGAGCCGCAGCAGTAGGGGGAGGGATAGAGCGCCGCCAGGCCCGCCTCGAGTCCCCACTGACCCAAGCCCTCAGTCGCCAGGCGGAGCCCTCTTTCCGCCGCGGGCCTCAGCCTCTCGGCGTGCGCATGCGCATTGTGTACCGGAGGCGCCACCGCCAAAACCGGCTGGGGCCAGAGCGGCCCAAAGCTGGACCGGGGCGCCGGGAGGAAGAAAACCCTGTGGTCCGTGGGCCGGGAACTGCGCTCTGAAAAGCCGACCTACGCAGTCCTTCCGTACACCCAGGGAAGGAACCGCCAAGTGCGCGCATCCCACAGCGTACCCTACCCCTCGCCTTGGCCCGCCAGCTTCCGCCTCGCCCCGGGGCCTCGCAATCCCGGACCTTCCCCCACTTCCTGCCCGAAGTTGCCTCGACCCCGCCCTGCCTCGGGCCGCAGTCCGGCCTGAACCCGTTGCAGGGCAGCCCAGCCCCACTTCACCCTGCTGTCCCTGTTGGCGGATGTGTCCCTGGATCAGCCTACCAGGAAAATTCCAGTTGTTTATGTAAATACGCCTCCCTACAGGAGATGGGGCTCAATCTCTGCCCTACCCACTCCACCTTGATTATCTTTTGCTTCCAAGACAGGCCAGCATGGAAAGGAGGGAAAAGTAACTTTACAGTGGAGAAACTTGGCAGACACTGCCTTGGCCAAGTGATAAGGGTTAGCATATCAGTAATAAGTTATGTTGATTGCGGAGTTCCCAGCTATACGAAGGGTACTTTACCTAATATTTGGAGATGTTACTCTCCAAAACCCATAACCCTAGTTCTGTAACACAGAAGAACAACCTGGCTCTATATTGGATCTATTCCTTCAACTCTAACGGTGTGTTGTTGCCTGTGCTTAGTCATGCTGGCTCTGCACCTTTCTGTTACCAAACGGAGAAAGAACGTTGTCCACAGCCTGAAATACACATAATAGTCCTTCCACAAGGCTCTGCCTCCCAGGCTTGCATTTTAAAGGCATAACACTTTTCATTTGTATAGAGATTAAAAAGTTGCAGAACTTGTTGAAGGTTTACGAGAACATCATGACCAGACCAACCGTGGACGGCTGCAAGAACAAAGGATTATCACACCCCTCTGAGTCTGGCCAGTACCAAGGGATCTGCAACAACCAGCCACAACCCCTCCCCTTTTGGTATAAAAGAAGCCTGAATTCTAACTCAGGTAAGATGGTTCCTTAGGACACTAGTCTGCCAGCTTCTCCGTCTGCTGGCTTTCCAAATAGTCACTTTCCTTGCCTCAACACCTCGTGTCTCAATTCATTGACCTGTCATGCACCAAGTGGTACAAGCTTGGACTCAGTAACAGTTCTTCCTTGAGAATAACATGAGACAAACCCACAAACACCTGACCAGTACAACCGGCCCTCTGTATCAACATCTGTGGATTCAACCAACCGCAAGTCCAAAAATATTAGGAAAAAAAATTTCAGAAAGTTCCAAAAAGCAAAACTTGAACTTGCCACACACCTGCAACTACTTACATAGCATTTACATTGTATTAGGCATTATAAGTAATCTAGGGATAATTTAAAGTATATGGGAGAATGTACCTAGGTTATATGCAAATAGTAGACCATTTTATATGAGGAACTTGAGCATCCCAGGTTGTTCGTATCCACGGGGGGTCCTGGATAACAAGGGACGACTGTACTCCTCAAAGCTGTCAAAGTTTGTGAAAAGCAAGTAAACTCTGAGAATCTGTCATAAACCAGAGGAAACTAAGGAGACATGACAGTTAAATGTAATGTGGTATTCTGGAGAAAACCTTGGACTAGAAAAGGGATATTAGAGGGAAAAACTAGTGAAAGCCACATAAAGCATAGAGCTTAGTTAATACTGTTCCAGTGTTATTTCTTAGTTATAACAAATGTACCATCATAGTGTTTGTTACCAAACTGAACTTAGGTCCACTCGCCCACAGCAAAACCAATTTCTGACAACAAGTTGTGAAGGAAAGTACAGCATTTATTGCAGGGTCCAGCAAGGAGTACAGGCAGCTCATGCTCAGAAGACCTGAACTCCTCAATGGTTTTCAGGGGAGCATTTTTAAAGGCAACATTTGATGGTGAGGGCTGCAGTGTTCGTGACTTTCTTCCGATTGTTTGGTGGTGAGGTAACAGGGTGGTGTTTCAGGAATCTCAGTCATCAACTTTGTGGTTCCAGCCAGTCTGGGGTCTGGTGCTTGTGCTCAGCATGTAGTCACCATCCTCCACCTCTGGGGGTGGGGATGGGGTCTTAGTTCCCAGAGAACAATTCAAAGATATCCATCAAGTTGTTACGTACATACCTTGGGGAGAACTAGGACTCTGTTTTATCACTGAACTATTGTTGTTAGTTTTCTTTTTTAACTGCTTTTCCTTTGTTTCTGCATTCCCTCACTTCCCTAATTAGTAACTGCATGTGCCTGCTCCTTGGAACCCAGGGAAGACCTAGGAGACTAAAACCTTTTACTACAAACAAGAAACAGGGGACATGGAGGAGCTTTGGTACGTGAGAGTGCCTCACAGTGTCCCACTCAGTTTCAATAGTCAGATGTTAATAATAGGGGAAATTTGATGTGGAGTATATGGGAATTTTCTGTACTGCATTTGCAACTTTTCAGTAAATCCATTCTAAAATTTAACGTTTATTGAAAAGCAAAGGGGGGCTGGAAATAGATGTTTCCAGATTTGGACCCATGAGTCAGTGATGTCATTAAAAATCAAAGCTCTTCCTAATTTTCCACAATACCATCCTTAGGGAGTTGGCTAACCTCTTAGTTTGTTTCCTTATGATCTCAAGATAGTTGCTGCAGCTCCAGGCATCACATTCTCATTACAAATGCATTCAAGACAGAAGAAAAGGGGAAGATAAAACAGGTATTTTCCTTTTATGAGGGAGAAAAATCATTGGTCCCTCTAAAACAGTTTTAGAAAAATCATTGGTCCCTCTAAAAATACTCCCATTGTCGAGAGGGAAATTGACAAAGATTCTCTTCTTTTTTAAAGTTTTTTGTTTTGTTTTGCGGTACGCAGAGCCTCTCACTTTTGTGGCCTCTCCCATTGCGGGGCACAGGCTCCGGACGCGCAGACTCAGCGGCCATGGCTCACGGGCCCAGCCGCTCCGTGGCATGTGGGATCTTCCCGGACCGGGGCACGAACCTGTGTCCCCTGCATCGGCAAGCGGACTCTCAACCACTGCGCCACCAGGGAAGCCCAAAGATTCTCTTCTTGACCAAGCTCTAGCCAGTCTCTTCCAAGCCCTCTTTTCAGTTAGGCCTCAGCCTGGGCCTATAAAACCTACTGACTCGGCACTAATGATTTCGTCCATTCCCCCACCAACCCCCACGTTAAAAGACTTAAACACTAACATAGTTTCTAATAGCTCAAGGCTGTATCACTAGGATGACCTTAGTTCCCCCTTAATGAGCTCCAGGCTGCCAGAAGAATTTACTATTTGTTGTAGCCAACACCTGACAAGAGGTCCTTTACTACCCTTTCTTAGAGCATTTACTAAAAAAGGACTTAAAATTTGTGAATTCTTCCTCTGTCCATTTGCAATGTATATGTATCTCCTACAACTCAGGACCTGGGTCTTTCTCAAGGACCTGAAAGCCATTCCTTCAAAATGTAATTATCAGATAGGATAGGACCTCTGTCTCCCAGTCTCTTTATAGCCCTGATGGGCATTTACACTCACCAGCCCTTTATAATTTTCCCCTGACTCTACCCAAGCCCCTCCATTCCCCCTGCCTACTCCCTCAACTTCCCTTTAAAACATCCAGTCACCTCTGTACAAATCCAAGTTGAGTTCAGTTCATGCTGGACACTCTTCCCTACTACATTATAATACTGATTAAAATCTGTCCTTACCGCTTGAGGGAAGGTAAGTTGGTGCAGCCAGTGTGGAAAACAGCACTGTATTTCACAAACTTATGCAGAGTTAAAGTTAATCCAATTGTTTGGTTTGTGGTCAATTACCTATATCCAGTACTTCTGGGTTACCTTGGTGGATTTCTCCACTCCAGAGCTCTAATTGGAAGGCCCTTAGGCCAATTGATATTACTAGAGGGGACTCCCTCACTTGGCCAGTTAATAATACCTGCTCTGACCCTGGCCATAAATATGAATTTTTCTTTTAGGGTCACTCAAGCTCAATCAGAACAACCAACTGAATCACAGTCGAAAACCATAACCTCCCTCAGTTACAGGATGGATTTATGTGGTTAACACCAGGCTATGGTCATTTAAGTTTAAAGGCTCCTTTATGTTAGAAACAATAAAAGCATACTAAGGATAACCAGCCTAGTAACACTAGAAAATTGGGCTGGGTGCCTTATGAACAATGCCAATATATCATCTCCCTTAAAGGTAAGGATTGATATAGAACACGACCAGAGATTGTGTTCCCTGGTTATTAGTTTTGTTTTTTGCAACTGATTGGAAAAATCCCTTGAAATTGCAACGTAATTGGAGACTATCTAAAATATAGCTGTTCAAGAGAACTTTCTGCACTGATGGAAAGAAATATCTGAAATGTCCGATACAGCAGTCACCAACACATGACTATTCAGCACTTGAAATGCAGCTAAAGCAACTAAAGAACTAATTTTAATTGTATTATTTTGATTAAAATTACATTTAAATAGCCACTAGTAGCTTGTGGATACCATAAGAGTGTGGACAAAGAATGTTGCCTGCCATTTCAGTAAACAAAGGATCAAGCCATCAGCCACGGCAGCAGACTGCGCTGGTGCACACTGAAGGGAATTCAGGATGGAGAAAAACAGGATACTGGCTCTAGATGGTTCAGGTGCACATCAAAGGAATAATTTCAATAAGCCCAGACTCTTGCATCTTCCCATACATTGAAAAGTGCTAGATTCATTAACTTGAGATGTCTGGTTTTCTTTAATTAGCAGTCATTGATGTTCCGACTACCTGGGTTGTTTTTATGTTTTGTTTTGTTTTGTTTTTGCAAAAACTACTACATATCCTGGCTCCTCCCTTACCTCTTCAGAACAGTCCCTCAGCTATCTGAGAGGCTATATCCCAGGCTTAAGTCCCCTAGGTTGTGCATTTTCTTTCAGTCGACAAGAGCACAGAAATGAAAATGATCTTATAGACCCCCTAATTCCTCTGTTTTAAGTGGTAAATAGTAAGGAAGAAAATTAATTTCCCACTACTAAGCTAATTTATGAACTTTCTGAGGATCCATTTCCTCGCTTGAAAATGGAGATGCAACCTGATGAGTTATTTTGAGTGTGAGAAAGGGCTGCAAAGCCCCTTTGCACCTATACACTTCAGGACCTGCATACAGGTAACCTGACAACCCTGGAAGTATCTAGTGAGGTAACCCTATGATGATTCAGTAAACACTCCCCACTAACACGTGAGAATCATTCAAGGAGGATAGGGCAGTAGCTTGGCTTTCACATACTTACGGGAGGAAGCAACACACACTTGCTCCCTACCATGTTCTCCCAACTTATTCCACAACTCTAGGTTACAAAGACTTCAGTTCGAGCGATATTTTTCAAACACCAGGAAAAACAAAGTCTGCACAAATGACCCATTTCTTCAAGCGCAACCGCGAAGAGTTGAACATCTGGGTGAAAAGGAGAACAGAGGATAGGGTTCAGTTTAAACACAGGCAACACAGCTAATCAGAACGATTCTCTGATGCCAGGCAGGCAGTCGCCAGCAGCGACTTTTCAGCAG